GGCTAAGAAAAGCTGTGATGCTGTGAAGAAAAGCACTGATGAGCCAAATTAGGCAGCCCCGGGGCGGGGCAGGATGGTATTGATGTTAAAAGGGAGGCGTTTAAATGCACTCGTCTCTATGTATGATACGGCTCGCGAGGCGTGTTTGTTGAAAAGGAGTGGACCTTACGGTCCTGTTCCGTGTCGTTGGGAGGATTGAAGAAGCCGGGCGAGCGTCATTTTTGTTGTGATGTGCGGCTGACGTGTGCGGTGTATAATGCTTTGATCAATAAAAGAGATAGCAAAAAAAAAACTTAGCCCTCCCCCATGTATCCACTCCATAAAAATAGTCGCCTCCAGCTTCCATTAGAAGCAGTTTATGACGTACGATTGTCATTGCCAATGCCCGGCTCGAGGGCGGCGAGTTTTTAGCACAGAGCGTTACACATACGACCGGTCGGCCAGCTACGGGCAACAACCGCTAACCGGTCAAACGATAAAGTACACTGACCACGCCCGGGGCATTCAGTTGCGTGAGACGCTGGCGGCCAGTCGTACTCTCGGCTTGGAGTGTGATATTACATGGCCATCGAGCATGTAGTGTGACGTTGGCGTACAGTGAAGTGCGATGCGTTCTTCAAGGACAGCCCACCGTGCGTGAGGCTTCGGTGCTTTTTTACATTCGCAGCATCGCAGTATGGTTCGCTGAGCCGCACACGGTGTTGGATACTACAAGGTCTTTCAGCGGCGTCTTGTCCCTTTGAGGGATATTCCCCGTCAGGATGCGTGTTCACCTGTGGCTTCTCGTTGTGCTGGTGCCAGCCGTGGCCGGAGGTTTCTTCGAACGAATGGTGGCGCGGTACCGCGAGCGGCGAGAGCACCGCCACGAGGAGAGGTTCCGACCCATCTTCGTCGACTACCAGGACGAGATGGAGAAGCTGATCGCAGAGAACGCCGCTAACATGGAGAGCGAGCACCCCGAGTTTGCGCTGGGAGTGCCGGTGAACACGGGGTACGATCAGAGACCGCAGACGAGACAGCGGTACCGCCGGGAGAGACTGCGGGGTCTGGGACAGCGGGCAGAGAGAACGCCAACCGAGGAGGGCCAGCGGGGTCACGAGGAGCACCAGGAGCAAGAGAGGCCCAGAAACCGGCTGAGGGGGGCCGGGATGCTTCTGTTCGGCCGTAGACGGAGACCCCCGGGCCGGCCGCGCCTGCGCACACCACCCACCCCCGTTCCACCGACAACGACGCGACCTACTGAGACACCGCCTCATCACATCCGGCTGCCGACTGCCATCGACGGCTTCGACGGCATCAGCCCGTCAACACGCCGGCCAGCGGCTTACATCGGGCCGCACGGACGAGTGGTGCTCCGAGACCGGGACCCTGTCGGCGCCGGGCAGCCCCCTTACCGGCGGCCACTGCACCGGGCACCCTCGGAGAGACGGAGACCCGTCCCGGCGCGCAGGCGCCCGGCGCGAGGCTGCAGAGGCAGAAGACCGTGTGTGGAAGAGGGAGAGGATGGAGGATTGATGCCGATGCCACTACCAACGCCGCCTGCAAATTATCGATCAGAGAGGATAAGACCAGCAGATAATGTAGTGCCGACAGAAGCATGGACGACGAAGATTCGGGAGCCAGTAAAGACAAGACAAGCAAGCGAAAAGCCATCGCCTCAGTCAAGAGCAATAGAAAATCATTTGCCTGAAACTATGGACCCTAGTGTTAACCCAGGACGAGGCTCAAGGAGGACAACACGCACACCAGCGGAGGTAACCCAGCGGCCAACGACTGCAGCCCAGATTCCGGTACCGGAATCAAAGGAGTCTCTCCCGGGAGGTGAGGCTCTGTTCGAGGCCATGACCTCAGTGCTGGATACAGCGCGGGTCGCCATGCTGGCCATGATGCCGCACGTTCCGGGCATCGAATCAGCGTCATACGGAACCAAAATGACAAAAGTAGCGAGCTCGGAAGATGCCAAAGCGTCGTCTTCAACTTTGTCAGATGACCCTATGCTCGGACAAGGCAGCACAGAGCACAGCGGCAGCTTCGCCAGGCATACCGTGAGGCCGATGCCCGAGCTGCGTCGTATGAAAACTACTACCGACCAGCCCAAGATGTCAAGCTTTGTTACCAATGATATGCTATACAATAGGCAACAAGAAGCTGAAGAGGAAAAGGAGCAGGAATCCAGTGACATCCGCTGGGCGAATCTGCTCGCAGCGGCAGGAGAAGAAGATCTCGCGACCTTTTATGGCATGCTCGAGAGGGCAAGGGAAAACAGAGAAATAATGAGCAGGGTTAGAAGCCGACAGAGGTTTGGCTTTCAAGGAACATCGACAAGTGGAGAAAATCGCAAGCTGCACGGTAAAGCTAAGAGTGATGAGGCGCCGTCTTTTCGCGATGAGATTCCCTTCAAAGTAAAAGAACGGGAAGAATTACCAGCGACAAATACAGCTTCAATCAGAGCACAGCTCAAAGCGATCGTAGAATCACTAGAAAACGAGCCTAACCGGCCGGACCAAGCTGTTGGACAGAGTCACGACGGTTGGAAAGCATTCGACGAATACTTCAGCGGACGAAGTACTGTGTCAGATATTAGCACATTCTCTCAACATCCCTCTGTGCCTCCGGAAGTTCACAAGCTGAACACCAACGAGGGTGAGCCTGGGTTTCGTAGTGGTGAAGAACGATTCCCAATCAGCGGTGCACCCGTGATCTATGAAATTTGGGGCTCCAGGCGTGAAAATGATAAGCACATTGGCAGAACCAGTTCAGAGACAGGCGGGAAGCCCATCCACACCTTCAATGCGGGGGGAACGCCAACACATTATGTTGATGATGGCTACCCCCTCAATAAAGAAGCCTTGCTCAGTTCTCAGGATCAAGCACGGCACTATCATGATGAGAAAACCAACCTCAATGACAAAAGTGAACAGCAACAAGGGACACAACTGAGCCATCCAGACGGGAGCGCACAACTGGAAAAAGGTGCCAGCTTGGGGTTTCGTGAACCTAGCCACAACCGTAATTCTGAACTTAGCAGGGTTCCCGCTGAAGAAGATGGCTTCAGCAACACGCCTCAGAGTGCAGGCGATGGACGAGACAACAGGTACATTTTGGGCCCCAGCGATTTACGCGACGTGGAATATGCCACACAGGACAGCGATAGGTTTGTCGAAGACGGCATCAACGCCAGGCTAAGCGACGCCAGTTACAATGGTTTCAAGAAACCATCTGTCAATGTGCGGTTTCGGGACGGTCACCAAGTCAGACCAAGCATTGCGGTACGTGAAAATGATTTCACTCCTCGACCAATTCAGCGCCACAAGCCTTACTTCGAAATTTATTCTAAAACCTCTAAAATTCAAGCGGACATACAGCAAACAATGGATGAGTTCAGCCCCAGCATGGCACCTAACACCGCATCAACTGAAGACGCTGGGCTTACAGATGCCAAGGAGCCTTCCGATGAAGCCATCTCTGAGATAACTGGCTCAAATCGCAACTTTAACAGCGGGACAGGTCAGGACCAGATGGATAAGCAGACAAGTCCACCACATACGACAATTCCAGGCGGGAGGAGAACCGAAGACACAAGTTCTACCGCTAGGCCGGCAGCAGTCCATCCCACTTCCACTGACGTCCTGCACAGCGGATACCCTGCCAACGAGCCCCCACAAAACACAGGATCAGGAAAACAGAAGGCTGGGACAACCACCTCACCTGAAAACACCAGTCCTTCGACAGCATCACCACAAGCAGTCGCGGAACTGACCACAGTGACGCCAACACCCAATCCGACAACCACACGTCTAGCAACCAGTACATCTAACCAAGCTGCACTCCGAGCAACCGATCAACCGACCTTCGCCACAACTGTTCAGTCAGCGCCTAGAATGACTTCACAGTCCACGTCATCGGAAGAAACCGTGACGGTATCGCTCACTCTGGAAGAACTAATGGCACTTATCAGTCAAGTGTCGCAGAAGCCACCAAGCGCTATGGAAGAAACGACCTGGGCGATGCTGGGTGTCGAGGGCATAACTGAGAAAACGACCGAAGAGGACGGACACGAAATCGTACATGCTCCAAGAATGAATGGAGAAGACAACCCATACGAAGAGGAAAGTGAGGATCCCTTTGAACACATCAAGAGTGGTGAAAACGTCGAGAATGCCGCAACAAGGCCGATAGAATCTACGTCGGTACAGAGCACATATAAAATTTTCCCCGCGCATCACGAAGAGAGGACGTTTCGTGTCAACCAGAGAGAAGACGAAGACAAGATGGATGATACAAGTTTCGTGCAAACGTATCCCAGAACTACTTCATCGTCCATCGAGAGTGACGACGGACGATACACGGGATCTCTGCGCCCTCCGCCGACAGCTCCTATGTTTGCTCGGCAGTACATATCGACTGAAGCCGGCCGGAGCGAGGTGATGATGACAACTGAAGGTGTTTCTAAGGCGCAGATGACGTCCATGCTCAGCCCTGAACATCTTCCCACACCCATTCCGTCAACTCTTCAGACACCACAGCAAATCACCAGCCCGACGTATGTCCCGATTACCTCAACTGAACCAACAACCTCACCTACAACTACAACTACCAGCGACGCTTCATATCTTCGAGAGCCACCCACAGCTGCTGGTTTCCCGACGACACAGGCTAGCCCGCCTATGTTTGAAATGCTTGCCATTCCCACATTCAGCGAATGGCTGGTGGCACCAGCTACAGAGACGAGTACCGACTTCAACGAGGGAGAGGAAGCGACAACCAGTTCAATGATGTTCGAAGCGGTAGATGTACCGACAGTTGACGATTGGTTTGAGACTGTAACATCAAGTTCAGGCACCACTAGTGGCTTCCCTTCTATAGTGACCAGTCAGCCGACCACCACGACCAAACCATCAACTGCTACCACTGCTACAACGTCCACTTCAGGTAATCCACCCACCACCACTACTTCTACATCAACTTCAACGACTCTTCAAGCCTTTACAACCGGTACAATGCCTACTACAACAAGCCCAGCAACAAGAGCGACAAGTTCGAAGCCTACAATGACCAACTCAATGAGCAGTCCAAGGCCTTCCACCAGTCAGAAGCCAGCAAAGATTAGCCCCCAGCCTCAGAATACTAGTCCAAAATCTACCACGACCAGTACAGCAACCGTAAAAAGCAGTCCAAAAACCACAACGACCCGCCTGAGCCCCACCACAAGCAACTTTAAACCCGAGACGACCATCCCAGATCCTAGTAAAAGCACTTCGATGACCGCAGTTGCCAGTTCAAGTACTGCAAGAAGGCAGACGTCATCGACAAGCGATCAACCAACAACTACTACAACAGCAGCAGCACCAACCACAACAAGGCCGACAACCACAACGACAAAGCCAACAACCACAACAAGTCCAACAACCACAACAACAGCAGCAGCTGCAACAACAACAGCCACAACGACAACGCAAACAACCACTACGACAAAGCCAACCACTACAACAACAGAGCCAACAACCACCACAACGAGCCAAACAACCACAAAGACAAGCCCAACAACCACAACAACGTCAACGACCAGAATGATTAGTTCAGTACCCACCACAACGACTAAAGTGCCACCAATCAGGCCCGAAGAGGTGACTACACGTCCGCTGTCACTCCTGGAACAGGTGATGACACGGTCCGTGCCGTTTATCAAAAAGAGAAGGCGCTTCACCACACCGACTTCGGTTGAATCTACCACAGATGGGTCGAAGATAGAGCCCATTCAAACGACGTCAAGCTACAGGGAGCCGAGTTCCGTGATGCCGAGACCTAACGAGCACACGACAGCTAACCCTGGACTAGTCACATCGAGACAAGAATCACTGCGCTATGATGTAGAAGTTGCGAAGTCAGACATCCAGGCAACAGATGAAGAAGATGGTGATTATCGGAACACGCCCACGAAGAGTCCATTGCCCAAGATGTCTCCTGAACTACGAATGGCGCTGGTACGGGAGTTACTGAAGCAGATGCAGGCTACAAGGCAGTCAAACCAGAAGAAGACGAAGGTCATGCCGGAGAGGAAGCCCACAACTCAGACCTATCCTACACAGATGTCAGTGCAAGAAGATGACGAACTGCCGCCAGATCAGACGTCGAAGATGCCGACGATGGAAGAAAAAGCAGCGGATATCTCGTCAAGCGACCAAGAAGAACCTGAAGAAGATCCTCCATCAATCGAAGAAGGGCCCGATGAGCCAGCGATTGATCCTGAACCGCCCGCTCAGATTGGAGCATCGCAGACCGATTTGGAAGGCTCGGAGCAGAAAATGGAATCAAATAAGGTTTCCAATAACTTGAAAGTCAAGGTTGACACAGAAGTGCAGACTGAGGCCGAGAGAATAGCAGCCTTGCTGAAAGACGATGTACCACAAACCAAAACTATTTCGTTACGCCAGGAACCTGAGACATCAGAAGAGAGCCAAGAGCCAGTCACACCCTCGGCATTCCTTCGCGCACTGCGAGAAAGGGTGAAAAACCGCCCGTCAATCCGAGGCTCACGCAAGAAGACTCGGCCAAAGCCACGGCGACGCGGCAAGATAAGGAAGTCGCTGCCTCGCGGGCCGAGACCGTCAACAGAGGATGAAGAGGATGAGATAGAAGATGTTGAAGATAACAATGATGAACAGATTTCGGAAAAGGATCCCAAACACTCAGAGCAGCCCAGAGCGAAACTTCATCAACTCGTCAATGCAGAGCTCAATAGTCAGAACGACGAGGAATCTGCCGAAGAGACCGATAATCAAAAATAAGAAACCTGGCAGGAATATCAACATGGTGAATCAACTTCTTTATAATTGGCTTAATTGCGTCCATAGTTGCCCGATTGTACCATCCATATAATTAGAATGTAATGTGTGAATGCACGATTGTAGCTTTTTGCGACCCATGAGTGTTTGTTGTTGCATTTTCATCTTGCTGAAAAGTGACACGCTTCCAAACTACGCTTCCCGTTGAGAGTCGCGATTCGCGAATGAAAGTTGATCAAGGGCAAGGGGATTCCAGATTAAGCAAGTTCAGACAAACGGTCTCGTACCGTTTCACCCGTTCGTGACCTTGCGAGGAACTACATTGAGTTCGTTTCATACGTGCCGTGTCCGTAATGCCAGTGTATGAACACGTTGCTGCTTCTGAAATAAACGTTATTACCACCTACCTCGCCGTATTGCCCGCATAATAACAGCTTCCAACACCCAATCACACTTCAACCCCCGTTCGTTGAGGCAATCGATCCTGACAACAGCGTTAGGGGGCGGGTCGGATAGAGGTTCACTGTTCTCTGGCCCGGTAAAAACCCGCACCCCGCCCGCACCCCTGAAAAAGTGGGCCGCTGGGCGCACACACTCGGATTACGAAGCACACACACGTAACCAGAAGTTGTCTGGGGTCGACACTTACAACCCAAGACCCGCCGGCTCGGCTCGGCACACAGGGACAACACTGGATAACACAACGCCGAGCGAGCCAGCAGTAGGTAAAACGGCACAGCACGAGCGCACACAAGGACAGGCGGCATGAGCGGGAAAACGATGTCGGCATTGCGGCATTATCCACATCCTGAAACAGTCAGCGGGCAGGCATGCTGTAACGGGCATCGTATGTACGACGGCAGGAAAAATGGTGTAGCCGGTGTGACGAAATGAGGTATGAGTTGACCTGTGCTGAGTGCTGGCATGTAAAGGTCAAGTGGCACCGATGCGTAGTTGGGAGTGGACAGAAAACGTTTGAGATAGTTGTGCTCTCATCCTATAGGTCAGGTTGGTGTTGGATTTGGCTTGATGTTTGATTATGTGGACTCGATTGTTGCACATCTAAACAATCTTACGTATCATAAACCATCGATTACAAAGTAAGTATTGGCGATTTCACATTTTATTCATCGCCATAACTCATAAGTCCTTTCAAAATCAACAATTTAACACATATGGCATTCCATGGTACAACAGTTCAAGAGATGGATTGGCTATTCTGTAGGAATATTGAGCTCACAGCAATATGACTTGTTCACAATTTACGTTAGCGACACTAAGATCCGAATAGAGCAAGGACATCACATAAACCGTAGGCTACTGATAAAACAACCACGTCAAACTAGCCAAGCAATAAACCACAGTAAGGGATTCGGGTGACATCGTAGAATATCCTCGAATGACACAGACAAAATATAAGCGGACAACCGACAATCAACAGCGCATGGACCATTTGCCAATCCTGATATGACCAAACGACCACCAGCTGATTCTTATTTCGCTCAGCTCATCTTATAACACGTCTACTACAATAGAATCTTTTTTTCAGGTGCCCTGAAACTCCACATCACATGCCTTTTCCTGTCGCTCTGACGGCTTTGGGGTGCATTTCTTTTAAACACATCCATAAATGTTCGGAATTCAATGACGCGTTGTTAGATGCATCCAAAAAGGTCACTCTAGTTACCGTCGTACCCAACGACGGCTCAGTATGCCCCGTTCTCCGTCCTGAAGAGGATGAGTCGCTAAACCGGTCAGCTCATTCGCTGTCATCCTTTGGAAGCTGCCCCACCACACCTGACACTGCTCACAGAGACTAGCCTACAGCAGCCCAGCGAGCAGGGAAGCAAGCCGAGACGAGCTACCACTCTCCCGCACAGATTCCAGAGAGCTAGAAGAAGCTGGGGAGGGACCGCTTTGCCTACGTCACCGTTCAGTAGACAAAGAGCTCGGGGAAGTGCATCTCCTGTAGTGTGGGTGCCCGGTATACGGGAGGCTGACCCGGGTCGTCGCTCAGCGCGCCGGCCGCCTCGCCGTCCGGAGCGTCACTCAGGCGGGCGAATATCTCGTCCAGCTTCTCACGCAGCGTGTCAGCCTGTGGACGGGGTGAGGCGGTCAGAAAATAGCCGGGAAATACTACAGGACAAAAGACAAGAATGTACAGCGCGACTATATGTAACAAAAGCATCGCAAGCAAGAGTTTGATTTGACTAAATGTCAGCTCAGAGCATTTATCATCTTTCACTTCCCCCACATTTTTGTCTTGGTTCACTAATCGACCACAATATAGCCCAGTGAAAACAGACGAAAACCAAGCTCTCACTCCCAAGCGGTCATGTCATCCCAGCCTCCTCCCTCCCTCTCGTCCTCACCCCTGCGCCGCTCTGCTGGCTGAGCGCGTGCAGACTGAGTGTGCGGCACGCCTCTGTCAGTTTCTGACGCTCCTCCTCCTGCTCTGCCCTCCTCTCCTCCGGCGGTGCTCTCACCAGGCGACGCATCGCCTCGAAACTCACCGACTCCGGCGGCGGCTTCGGCTTTGGGGCAGACAGGGGAGCGTTAGAGGGAGCAAAGCCAGAGACGAGAAGGACAGCATGGTGACACCGGGTAAGTAGGTGATCGCTGTAAGCAAACTGCAAAAATAAAATAAAGCAGCTGTTAGTCCACGGTAGGGCAAATGTAATAGACGAAAATAATACATATATAGACACTGGAAATAATTTGGTCATCACATAGGGTGCTTTTTGCACTTTATGCGGATTCCAGCGCAATTTAAGTGGCTAGCTTTATGGACACTATCCTCCTACTTAGGTAATGAAAATTTGTCACATCCGGTCAGTCTCGCGTGCAATTAAATCCAAGATATAGCCCATTCACTAAAAAATAGTGAGAATGCACAAGAAAAGTCACCACCACCGATCGCTGCCTTCAAACTAGCCTCTCGAGGTTTAAACAAATCAATCAAGCTAGCAGGTGGTCCAAAAGGTTCAGCCCATAAAATCTGTAGTGATCAGAAACCAGTGAATACTGCGAGGTCTGACAAGGGACCAGACAGTGACTAGAATTCGATTGCGACCGATGACCAGGTGTTGCTCGTGACCAGTGACCAGTGGTCAGTGACCGTCGTGGGTCGGTGACCCGTGACTTACACGGGCCGTGATACCCAGTCACGCTCCCTGTAACAACGAGCCCGCCCTCCGAGAGGGAGGCAGATGTGTGAAGCCGTGAGGTCAGTGGAGCACACCACCACTAGGTACACCTTGGGACTGGTGTGCAGGCGCAACTTTCCCAGGGACTAAACGTGGGTGGTATTCTGGGAACGATAATGGTTCCTAAGCTAATGGGCGATACACCACCTACAGGATCATAAATGTAATTCTACGCAAGATTGTATATGATATTGCTAGATGACTTTCATAATCATAGATAGGTTCTAACAACTATGGAGTCCGTAATGTAGGTATGTGCTCCTCTAGTCGCTACTACACAAGGGTACCTCTATCATATTTTATGACATTGACCTCGAAGTTTTGGAAGCATAAAAAGTGTAACTCCTATAAAAATACGAGGGAAGAAATGTCATGATCTATCTAATCCCAAACACCAAATGACCAGCAAAACGTCCCGAACCATCACCCCCGCAATACATGCAGTTTAGCATGGCTAGTCGGCACCCTAAGGTGTTCACACAGAGTATTCCAGCATGCAATAGCATTTAGCACCAGTGCCGACCGCACCCCACTCTAGCAAAAGGCGTGCTACCATAATCCGTCGAGAGGGCAGAAAGGGAGCAGATAAAGGAGATAGAAGGTTCACCGGGCCACTGTTGGCCACTTACGTGATGCTATCGGTCGACCAATCGACAGCGGCAGCGGCAGCAGCAGCGGGATCCGCACATGGCACACAGCGAGCGAGCGAGCGAACGAGAGGCGGGGTGGAGAGCGAGGAGAGAAGCGAGTCATTCAGTAGTCATGGGAGATACTCGAGCTGGACAAGTCATAAAGATAAAATGGAGTCTGTGTGGAGTCATATTTGGGCTCGAGGTGTCGCTGGACACAAGAGAGCCAATTTACAGTCCGGACACGAATGAATTTATGTCAGATTGAGAAATATGGGGAGCAGTTGAGTCAGAGACAGAAAGACAGCTGGGATCAGCTTGCGAAGCCAGAGTATCGGAGCAGTGAGCATTGCAGAAGAGGTCGGCCAGAGGAGAGGAGTAAGAAAGCGTCAGGACGGAGAGAGCAGAAAAGGAGAGGAGTGGGGGCACAACAGCAGACTGTTGAGGCTGACAACACGAACAGCACAGTCGGCAGCGGCGCGAGGACAGCTCGTACCAAGGTCCAAGGCTGAATGACGCGGCCAATCTGATCTTACAACGTATTTATGCAACGCTAATGGCCAACTCAGGGTACTAAATGTTTGGACTTTTTCTTTCTGCCTGGAACGGCAGATGCACTGAGGGATAAGTTTTAGTTTGGTTCGACGATTCGTAACATTTCGTACTTTTATCGTGTTTCGATGCTACGTCAAAGAGAGACCCAAGTACATTCATTAAATGTATTGCATATCACACATGTCAAAGGCGAACACATGAATTATCCAACGGAAGACACATTCTGCACTATGCAGAGCTTACACACATTCCAAACAACCAAAAACTTCGTTAATCATGAGCGGAATCTGAGTCGTTGATCTGGCACCGAATACCCTGAAGAACTACACGCCACTCGGCGGGACAGCAGGCTACTGCGAGAGACACTGGTCCCAGTCGGGCCAGTACTTGTCCTTCATCCTCTCGAAGTACTGCACCAGCACGGCGTGGTTGTCTCGCACGTAGCGCTCCACCTCCGGGGCGCAGCCGATGATAACCTGGGTCAGCTCTGCGAACACGGCTGCGTCGTAAGTGCTGGGTGTCTTGGCCACCACGAACTGCTTGTCACCGATCACGTCCTCCAGCGCGCGCAGCTCGCGGCGCAGGAAGAACAGCACCTCCTCCTCGCTGAAACGGCCCATGCCGTTCGTGAAGAAGTACTTCTTCAGCTGCTTGCTGAAGGCCGGGTAGAAGATCCTCATCATGAGCTGATACTGCTTGGGGAAGCACTTGAGGATGTAGGACATTCTGTCCAGGACGTAGCGCTTGTAGGCGACTGCGACGATGGTGTGCTCGTCCAGCATGACCTGAACGGCTCGGCCAATGGCGTGCTGGGACGGACTCAGCTCCTCTTTGATAGGCTTATTGAAGTGTTTGGCCAGGTAGTCGATGATGAGCTCAGAGTCGGACAGCTCCTCCCCGTTGATGGTGATCCAGGGACACTTTCCACGCGCGCCCTGTGGCTCCTCCGTGTCCACGATGTACTTGATGCCGGCCATCCGCAGGTAGGTCTCCAGCTTCAAGGCGAACGGTGACAGGTTGGGCATGTTGGTACCGCGCTCGAACTGGTGCAGCACCACCACGTCCTTGCCGGCCTGGCTCCAGCGCTGGCGGCGCTGGTGCGCCTTGTACTTTTTGTACAGCTTCAGTCCAACGCCGAGGATGGCGGCGGCGAGCACCACCTTCCCGACCTTTCTGCCGGTCTGGGTGCGCGCACAGTGCGACACCTCGCGCCACACGGCGTGGGGACGGGGGATCGCCACACCGCCCGGTGTAGCCACAAACGCCATGGCTGATGAGCAGAGACGGTCCGGACGCCGCGGACGGAGCACCACGACTGGCGGGCCGGCGAGCGCTCCAAGGCCACTCGAGTGACGGGGTTTCCGGGGGTCAGAAGTGCACCGTCAGCACGGCGCCGAGCGTCAGGAGTATCGCCCAGAGCGCGCCGATAGGAGCCGCAGCGGCCGGCACTAAAACCGATAACAAAACTGATCGGTACACCGCTCATTGAAGGATTTTCTCGTCGCATTGCGTATCTGCCACTATTCGACGCCTCAATGTGTCCAGCTGGTTACGGGTAGATCGTCTGCGACCGCTGCCGGTCCTGAACAGCGATGTGATGATGACTGTCGTCATTTCAAGGTCGGCCCTGCGCGAGATGTTTGACTAGTAACGCACACATGCCAGTTTCCACACAATCTCAATGTGGCTGGATCTAGCATGCAGCACAGGCCGAGTGGTGTTTAGGAGCTAATGATTCCAGTCAATAGGATTTTCACTTTAGTACCAGTATCTTCAGTAGTCAGTCCTGGATTGAGGCAGCTGAATCAGGTACCTAGATTAAACGAGTAGATGCGTATTATTTTTCTGAGGCTAGTGTGTCAGCCAACAGTGTATCGCAAGCCCGGTACGCGACTCCATCAGGTAGGTAACATTTCGTCATCGGGGCGGCAAAGCCGCTTTCTATTAGCCGTGGGACGATAACGTTATCATTCTCCAATAGGCGGCGGCGTCCGACGTCCAACGTCTAATGTCCGCGTCCAATGTCCACGTGTGATAATACATGGACAATACGTAGATAGTCGCATATGGACGAGGAAGGGGTGTTTTACGCTCCTTTCAATTCCTTTAACATGTATCCAGTAAATGGTGGCCAAATTTTAGAATGCTTTTTCATAGACTTTTTCACAAACGTCAAAACTACCATTCGGGAAGGTCAGGCCACTTTTGCAATGTGCCAAATTGTTCCCAAGTCAAATATCAGCCGCCGGTCCACCGCCTAAGCCCACACTGACAGCGGGGAGGGGACACAAAGGGACAGCGAACACAGCATGCAGTACCACAGAGGGGCAGTGTGGTGGATAAACACACTGCAGGAACCGAGCAGAGCTTCTGACATTGCGAGCAATCAAACAGCAAACATTCAACCGCAAATAGAGATAGCGTCTAACATAGAAAGATAGCAGCAGAGAGTGTAAGGTCTGAGAGAGGGAAGGGAGCGGGCGGTAAGGGTGGAGCTTATCGCCCAGGGTGCGACACATCGAGATAAAATATACATACACATCAGTTCCACATCAAACAGCGAAGTTGCCGGACATCGAACGACCAAGTTGCTTAGGTTGCCTACAACTATCCAAGGATACAATAAAGAGCGACAGAGAATGCTGAACAAAGAAAAGAACAGAGACTACAGAGGCCACAACATCGGGTTAATTCGTACCTATACACGGCGGTCTCCCTTCTCTGACGACGTCGTTCCGATCGAATCCCTTCAGCTTCGTCCAGTCATCATACTCATCACCATACCATACACTACACTCGTCACACTCCTCAGCTAACGTCAGGTTTGTACTGAGCCCAGCATCAAGCCGTCGCATCCGCAGAAAATGTACAGTATGTACAAGCGTTCACAATGCGTCAAACAGACGCGACAAACGCGATATAAACACGCACATCTTGGTGACGCTCGGAAAGCAAGCGAAGCTGAGCAAACGCGGACGAACAAACACAGCTCAGAGGCATAGACAGAGATAATCTGACTTAAACAGAATAGATACACAGCTTAGAGGCTCAGACAGAGATTATCTCATTTAATCAAACAAAAAACACACTCAGCTGAAAGGCTCAGACTGAGATCATCTTACTAAAACAGAGCGGCTTAAAAGCTCAGACAGATAATCTCACATGGATCGGCACACCCGGTATTTGCGAATAAAAATAAAGCGTGTCTCTATATTACTTAAGGCCAATACAAATCAGGACCGATATCTAAAAAGCGCCCAGCAACTGAAATATGCAGTGAAAGAATAACTGGTTGTTGATCTTTTGTCGTTCAGGACGTCACTCTAAATCGGCACCACGGATGGCCAAGCAAAAATCTACCAGTTGATCAATCACATAGAAAACATTACAGAGCATCACAGTCGCATAGAGTTTATGTCCAGGCTAGTTTCACATGCAACTTAATGTCAAGTGGCGATGGACCATTTTCAACGAGACAATAAACTCAGAAACAGGTCATATATCTACAGCGACAGCTTACACACCTGCCTCCAATCGAGGCACACTGATTAGAACGCATTTTACTCATCGCCCTCACGCACCCACCAAAATACATTGTGCGTTAGTGAAGGCTGGTCAAATCGACACTCAGCACACCAAAGGCGCAATCTCACCCACTGCCTCTGCGCCTACGGTAGTAAATACGTCCCGTCGCGTGAGATTTTTTGACGGTACACAGGTGGCAAGTGTTCCACCACTCACGACATACCGGGTGAGTCACTAACCTGTGATGTGTCCAAAGAACGGGCACAGTGTTCCGCTGTTAAAGGCAGCTCACCACAAGCGTCTCTCAGACCTCGGCCAAAGCCAAAGCCACAAACCATATTTGCGGACGTGTCAGAGCCGAGCCGCGACAGAGTTTACTTTACCCCACCCAATGACAGTGCACAAAAATGTGAGGTGTCACGATGGAAATGTTATCGAAGAGAACGGTTCAACACATAGACGAAGGCAGAATGACTATAATGGAAAAGATCAAGCAAAACTGATTTCAGACCAGACGATCTCCAGATGAACGCGGGTCCAGTCAGTTCACCATATAAAAGCTCGACAAAGCTCAGGCAAAGTTTCACAACATCCGCTCTAGGTTGACAATCTCAATTCACTTCACTTTACAATCTACCAATATTCAACGTCCAGCTCACTTCACTAGCTCACTAGCTCACAGAGCGGCTCAATATCTCACTCCGAGCTCACATTCCTCTGGAGGCGGGCCGGCGGGCTGCCGACTGCGGTACCTGAGTTCGGGCGGGGGCGGGGACGGGGGCGGCGGGCGGCGGGCGGGCGGCGCGGCCGGGTCGCTCAGCACATGAACTCCCGGGGCCGACGCCCCACGTGCTACAAGACCACCTGTCGCCGGGGCGAGGCGCGGCACGGCCGGGCGCGGCCGCAGGCGCGCAGCATACTCTCGCCGCGGCACCAGCGAGCGGCCTGCAACAGCGGCCACCAGTCGTTGGGGGACGGTGGAGAGGTGCCAGGGGCTAACGGAACGGTACTGGAGTTCCACCGACTCGGTCGGTAGCAAGGTTAGCGAATATCAAGCCGCGAAGGTTGGATACCACCGGACCACTAGTTTGAGATCACAGGTTCAACAGAGCTGGACGGGAGTTGGACTCGTAGGCATTGTGGGCCACCGGACGACTGGGGTTGGAGCCACATCCGATTTGAGTTGGAGTGTTGAACATCTAGGGAACGGACCTGACTCAATAGGATTGCAAATTTCGCAAAGACAAAACAGAAACGCGGACGATAGAAAGTTAGCAAAACGCAGCTCCGTGCGAGAGAATGAGTACAGTAGCCCATACAACAGCAAAAAAAAAACCCAAAGCTGATAGAGATCTGAAAATGACGGTAGACGGGAAAACAAAAGCAGACAGACGCAATCGATAGCCGAAATACATGAAGATGCGACCGCTGCTTATTACAGATCAGCATTGCATACAACGCAGGTGTGAAAAGTGAACAACGAAAGCGGCCAAAGCAATGAACATCAAAAGCACATGAATAGAAGGACAGATTCTGTGCACAATTATGGCCCATGTTACGACCAAAGCCGTACACATATGTGCATCGTACATAAAATACACAAAACCTTGCGACAAGGCGAATCTCACCATCAACACATAGACGACCTATTAAACTTCAATAAATACACAATACGCATTGAAACAATGCCCTTGCGGTTGCCTGACCATTGAAGTGCAAAACAGCTTACGAGCAACCCAGATTCGTTCCCTTTTGGCAGCGAAAGTAAGCAATGCAGAACAGTGACATATAAGCAACCGACATGCTAAAAATAAGAATATGCACAATCAATTATCGGCCGACAGTTCATATCGAGTGACATAAAAGGAACATCCACTCATAGCGCCAGTGCGATATAACAGCATCTTCTGACAACAGAGACATCTAGTGTGGGTAACTGGAATCAGCGGCGTCGAGGCACTAATTCACGGCACATCATGGCGCCAGTTGAGTTAATTAATGCCTTCACTCCAGGTCGTTGTATCGGTTTATATTATATACTCTAAATCGTATAAGGTATCTAAATTATGCCTCCGAACATAAGACTGAAACATCACAGTGGCATCATACAGCTAGCCAGTTACCACAATATAACTGCTGCCAGCGGACGGGCATGGACCGCGGGTTCCGACTGGAATAATAACAGCAATATCCACACATTGACGACAGGGTGCGGAACATTGAGGGTGACTGCGCGCGGGCGGGTTCAGAGCCGCGTGGGTTCGGGTTGTGAGGAAGCCTTACTGTCAAGGCACAACGCCAGCCGCGCCGGGATTCACATACAGCATCCGCGCTAGGCAACAGCACATCAGCTACCAACAGGTAACACACAGCGTTCATAAACCGTAGTGGGAGGGAGAGGTGCAAGCAGCAGAGCCACGCTGGGGTTCACATAAAACAGCCGCACTAGGTAACAGCCTGCACAGCGCATACCGCGGAGAGAGGGGGAGAGAGAGTGGAGAGGAAGGGGGCAGCCCTGCTAGTTATTCGAGGCTACACAACACAGCTACACTGTGAAATGTGGGACCAACAGTCTACATCATACAGCTATTCTACTCAGTGAGTCACGCCGGGTTTGAACCAGTCGGCTTGAGCTATCAGCTCGCACAATGCAACTAGCACAATGAAAACGTTATATGACAGGGATAAGGCGGTGGGACCAGCGGCTGCTCTGACGTGGTTTTTTTATTCACACGGTGTGTTTCATGACGGTAGAAGGTCTCATTCATCTGACTAAAATCACTAAATCATCATTGGGAATAAAGGAAACCGCAAACATCTAAACAGACGAGATAGGTCGCAGGCTCGCAGCACAATGGTTAACCACATTGAGTCGGGAAAATGTAACAATTCGAATAACTATGCTACTTGTGAGATTATTCATAGCACATAGTTACAATGTAAACGTTAAAACATAAAGCGCGGCTTCTAAAATAAGGGACAGCAATAACAAGGGCGAGGTGCCGTGTTTTCCGGCCTTCGATGCTGAGCCTAGGGTTTACCAATCCAAACTGAGCTAATACATCAAACTATAATCCACGAACCACCAAAAAAGAGTTTCCCCTGAAGAGTTGTTCAAGTAAGGCCGCAGTTCCCTGTCCCTGATGACTCTGTCACTGATGATATGGTTATGATTTGTTGTCAGGACGGGCACGTGCGAACTGCGGGCGTCAAGGACAGCTCGAGAAAAAAGGGAGAAAAGAGGAAGGAAGAGAAGCTGATTTGACTGCAAAAAGAAGAACAATAAATGAAAGAGAAAGCGAGGGGAAGGAGAGGAGGGAGAGAAAGAGAGAAAGAGAGAAAGAGAGAAAGAGAGAGAGAGAGAGAGAGAGAGAGGCGGTGATGAGGGTCCTTCCCTGCTCCTCCCAGCTCACCTTGAAGAGTCCTATGGAGGAGGACATGCTGTCCACCTCGACTGTGATGTTGTTCAGGTCCCGGTCGCTGTTCTGCAGGATGCTCTGACGCTTCTGCCACACAGACGCCGAACTGAAGTATACGGGACGGTAGGGAGAGGTTAGGGTGGTTCGATAAAGATGGGAAGAGACGGTTCGTCAGTGAGGCTTGCTGTTACTCAATGCTCTCACCACAGGCGACCGAGAAGGTGAATGGCCAGCGAATGTGGGACACGCATCATATACGTGGCGCTACATAAAGCAATGATGCATCGTTGACATAGGAGATAAACTGGGTATAGCTAAAAGCGGGACACTCACCAGAAAGTTACCAGAGGCGACTGAGGGCTCATATTACCCGGTATCCATTCGGCTTGTCCAACGAGTAAGAAAAAACTTTCCATCAAATTCCACATCTCATATCCCGTCCTGCACCTCGTTCCATACCTTATTTAACGCCTCGTACAACACTACCCCCATTTTGTCCCACACCCCTTTCCGCCCCCGATCCCAAACCCCATCCCTCCCTCGTTCCCACCTGGGCATCATGTTGCTGAAGGGCGTCTGCAGTCGGCTGGCGTCCAGTCCGTGGGTGGTCAGCACCTCGGTCAGCCGCGCCTGGTCCAGGAGCAGCGGCGCGGCCGGAGGCTCGCGGCCCAGGTGCGGGTCGTAATGACTCTTCAGGTCCGGGAGGAGGTGGGAGGAGGCCAGCTGGCGGGCAGACACCACCTGTCGAGGGGGGAGGGGGGGTCAGAAGTCGGGGTCAGGGGTCAGAGGTCGGGGTCAGGGGTCTAGGGACAGAGTAGGGAGAGTAGAGAGGCGTGGCAGGGGAGAGCAGGGACTGGTCAGATAAGACAAAGGTGGGCATGAACAGGTCAATAAGTTTAGCTGGAGCGACTTCTGGCACTCTCATAAAAAAAACTTTAAAGGAAACCGCCTTCGACGAAATGAATCGCCTCAAAACACACGCCTAGCTAGTCGGAGTGTATGAGCAGAACACTGCGATCCAGCATCGATCCTGCTTAACGAGATGTACACTGCACAGCAGACACAACCGCTTGACGTAATGAAGCGATCCAATCGACATCGGTTCGGGATACACCACACACGGTACACGTACCTGCTTGACGTACTGGAACAGTCCCGGTACGTTGGAGTGGCAGGACACGAAGTTGGCGAAGGTAATGGCCAGAATGTGCAGGTTTATCCGCAGTGTTTGGCTCATCTCAGAGTTCAGGGCGATCTCCTGAAACGGCAGAATGTAGACGGTTGATTAGGAGTGATTCAGGCCGGTTGAGGGGGTATCCATTCGAAATATGTGAGCAATGTGCATGCCTCGATGGTTAGGAAACTTATTTATGTAACACATTACGTCTGATTTATCTTTTGTACAAGATGGCAAGAATCTCAGATTGCTTTACAACAAACCAGTCCACACCCTTATCGAACTTCCCACGCCGTCAGTCACATCATCTCACTCTGAAGATCAATCATCAGCCTCCTCCCACAACGCACTCCCACGTCCACTAACCCTCTCTCTGCACATCTGATTCCAGCTCCCTCCCATCCCACCGTCACTCATCCCATTCCAACCCATCTCTCCCACCCTTCCATCCCACTCCGTACCCACCTGCATATCTAGGGTCAGTCGCAGCACGTCAGGCAGGAAGTCGGGTCCGTTCACCTCCAGCCAGAGAAGCGCCAGCGTGCGGTACACAGCCTCCAGGTTCTCCAGACCGTTATTGGCGAGCTCCAGACTCTCCAGCAGACAGAGCAGCATCTCGGGGCCGTTCCGTTTAATGAACATGACGTCCTGTCGGGAACACTTGTGTAGCTGGAGGTCCAACTGAGTGACGTCCAGTCTGCCGAGGAGAAGAGTGGAGATGTCAGAGAAAACGGACAGAGTATTCTGGACAGCTGTGGTGACGATGAGAAGACGGCAGCCATTGGCAGCCCCCTTGTTTCTTTGATTGTTGGGGTCTTATTGGCACGTCGACATTGGGATAGGGATTGACCGCCATCATTTTGAATCTTTAACATATGAGTCAAACGTTGTAGTAAAATCATATTTTGTTGTCGCCACTATTCTCAAAATCATATTTTGTTGTCGTCACTATTCTCAAATAACAACTTCCTCAATCCCACTGCCTGCCCGTTTTTTTCTTTTTATTTTGAGGGAACAAATCCCCGTCACCCACCTGGGTTTATCCAGTTTGGCCAGGTTGCCTCGCCTATCGATGAGCGTGTGCAGAATCTGCTGAACAATGAGCCGAATCTCCGGATCGGGGGCCAGAGACATCCTCATTAGCGGGTCCAGGAACGATAGCGGGAACGTCGTGGCCAGGTTCAACGATGTGTATTTGGTGCTCACCTGGTAAACAGAGAAATGTCAGAGACCTACCAAAAGAAAAAAAACACGATAGGACGTGAGAGTGACATTCCGAGAAGAGTACTTGCTAAAAACACGCTTGAAAGTGTGCGACTGAAAACAAGTCGGAGAAAGTCGCAGAGAGGGAGATAAGGTATGCAGCGACTGGAAAAGTTGAGAGCTGTTTGTCCTTACGGGTGACGTGAGACGTCTTATTGTCGAGAAAAGCGAGAGAGATCTCATACGTGATGTGAAACGGCAAGCCGGGCTAGAAGACGAAATGGGCGGTGCTTTAGTGTGGCAAACACGCACGTATATTACGCGAGCGGCGGGTGGTGGGTATTATTAGATGGGAAAATTAAAATACCGGCACCGCCATGCAGCACCGCATGGTGTACAAAACGTGAGTGCGGCGGCGGGTTGGACAGCTCTGACAGGCGGGAAAGGCGACTGACAGGGCGCGACACAAGCGTGACAGGGTGTCACAGATGAATGACAGATGGCTGACGGCCGAGACAGCCTTACGACACCAACATTCCCGCGCCGTGGCAACCTGCTGCGATACTGAGCTTTGACTCATCTCTAAGAACTCACCTAGCATCACAAATACAAGCCCAGCAACATATTCACCTATCTCAGTCCTCAAAACACGTCCTACCCTCCTACTACCACGGACCCGGCACTCAATAGTCCTCAAAGCACGCTCCCCAATCCTCCCGCCGCCCTTCCTCCTTCCTCCCCGTGGACTGTAATGCCGCCTGTCACGCAGCCTTTCTCCGCCCGCGACAAGAAGCGGCAATCTCCAGAGAGAGACGACGAACCCGGATTGGCTCACCGCTAATTGTAATTACCGGCTCCGTGTCGTTACGTGGGGTCTGCGGCTCTCGTGTTACCATACGGCCGGCAATTCGATGTTGGTTGCGATGAGGGGAAGTGCGTCTTTCGTTGTGGGTAGGATGCGGATGTTCTTGGTGTGATCGACACTATCTCATTGGGTGGTGTGTAGAAAGAAGTGGGTAGGGAGTGGACATGAATGAGAAATATGCTTCTCAACTTTCTGCGCTTCCGAGCCATAGTGTAGGTGTGGATGTGAATGTTGAAATACTTATTTTCATGGTACAGAGTACAACAGTTGACCAATAGCAAGATATATGTCGCTTACTTTCGCTGAGTGCTAAGAAACGACACCAGTGGGTATCTACCCAGCAGATATTTCCCACTGCAATATTCCAGTCTCCCCCATAACCCCCGTCGATACCGCACCTTGAGCAGACTCCTGAGCAGCATGTTCTGTAGCAGCACCTCGCCCTCCGAGTCGGCCTCCTGACGCTCCCGGTCTCCCGGGTACTGCGGCACCTTGCCCATGATGAACATCATAATCTCGATCTTCTGATAGTCTGTCAGAACGCCAACACAGGTCAGATACACCCACCAGCTATACATGTGGCAGCCAATGACAGTATTTCTCTCAGTTTGACACGAACGATGGTGTGAGAGGGTTCGTCTGTCCAGCTCGGACGGAGGGTCTTTATGGACCCATTCCAGGTCCCGTACAGTTCCCGGAAAACCCATCACTCCATCTGAGCAGCAGGAAGACACGCGGTACGACTGACAAAAATGGCTCTCGTGGGTACGCTGTGTACCCATTTCGCCACTCTTACACGGCGTCAGTGGGTTCACAGGAGACTGGAAATCTCTCTAGCTCCATTAGCAGATGTATCACTTATCCTTCTACCCCGTTCACCCCATTTCAGCTCAATTCCAGCCTTGGTGACGTCCGTAGTTCATCCCCGCAGACCCCTCACCATCAAACCCCGGAACTAATAAAATCGTCCATCTTACGCTTTCTTTCCAGCAACCCCCAAGATCCTTTCTGTCCACCTTTATCTATACCCACCGTTCACACTCCTGGTATATCCCATATTTACTCTCTGTTTCTATCGGTTACACACCACTCACGCTACTTTTATCCCTCCCTATTCCGTACCGGGCAGATTATTGGCGAACTCTCCGAGCGCGTCGATCAGCGCCTCCTGGTACTGCCGCTCGTCGCTCTGGTCCTTGTGCGTGCCGGCGCCCCGGTCAGCAGTCACGGACTGACGCAGGTGGCTCAGCAGGGAGTTGATGATCTCCAGAACGGAGGGACCTGCGGCAAATAGACAGAGACAGACAGAGATAGACAGAGAGGGGTAAGATCAGCAACATCGGTAGATAGTTATATCGAACACGGAGGAGTTTGTTGCACAGAGAAACAAGGTGTGAGATCGGCAGCACCGGGGAGTTGATATCCAGCACGGAGGGACTTGCCGCATGCGGGAGCACAGGGATGCGATGAAGACGGCAAGGAGAAAATACAGGGAAAAGGTTATTGGCAATATTTCATTATAATTGATCATGTCCAGCATGGAAGGACATAGCTTCGCATATAAATACGTGGAATCAAGATTTCCGTGAGACGTGGACGAGATACTTTGGGTTGGCCTACAAGCGCGACCGTGTAAATGTTACAAAAATCGGCTAGCAGCTTTCATCAGCTACATGGGTAAATCAGCTCACTGACACCGGAATGAGAACAAGCTTTGATCCGGGAGGGGACGCTGTCGGAGATATTAATCTAAGCCGACCGAAAATGACAGATCGGACTGCCTTCAGACGCCCAGGGCCTGTGAGGAATCGGTAACGGAAATGAAACGCCAGTCTCCCAACCGATCAAAGGCGGGGACCAATTGGCTAATCTGACAACTCTAGTGGGATCTTATCTGATCCGTCAATCTGGGAGCTTCATTACACGAATAGAGAAGCAAGATATTTGACAGTTGTTAGACTCTGGATGAAAACTACGTCAACACCTGCATGTCCACGTAAAATCCATTAGCAGCGCATGGACCACAGAGGTCAGCTCAACTTCACGCAAAAGACGGTCACACAACACCACAGCGAGCATCACGACATCGCCAGACATCCTAATCTCGCCCAGACGTCTGTATCTGGGTCACAGCAGTCGGCGCCGCCCCTTCCCCTCCCCAACCCACACGGAACGACTTCCTCTTCCCGCCGCTCTTGACTCCCTCTCAACGTCCGCACCATCTTCCTCGAAGACGGCAAGCCTACCATAAGGACCGGAACAGGATAGATCACAACTCCACACCCCCTCCTCCCTTCCCCGTCCCTCACCGCCTCTCCAGTTCCTACGAGTGCGATTAATATCACGCGTTCGGCGAGCGGCCGCTCATCTGTGTGGTGTAATGAGTATCCACTGGCCTCGGAGGGGCCGCTGGGGGAGGGTATCGCGCTCAGAGGCGTCATTAGAGTCCCACCGGAACACCTACGCGCCTGTTGCAGTCGCCAGGTGCTGGCCGAGCCCGTGCGGTCGCACAGCAGGTGAGTCGGCCACTACAGGGGCGACAGAGACTAGGTGAAGAATAAGGTAGTAATAAGATAGCTATGGGTGAAGCTAGTATTGCGACATAACTATCGACACCTCACCGAGTATTATCAGCATAGCTCTTCTTTGAAATCGCATCGCAAGAGTTGGGAAAAAGTGCAATATTATCAGCGTTGCGAGCGAGTCGAGCGGCGAAAAAAGCAGAGAAAATCTATATTATAAATCCTAAAAAGTCCGCCGCCGTCGGGGTAACTCCCAAAATGGCTTATTACGGCGCCGTCGATTGACGCAGGAGGGTGAAATTTTTGCCACTCGTGGGTCGCGTCATTCAACAGGTCGTATTAAATTTTGGGCACGATGCGGCCAGGGGTGCGCCCGTGGCGCGTGCTCACGTGGTGTGCCATAGGGTTAACACTAGAATCGGCAACAGACTATTGCTCGGGAACGGTAAGGGCTACGGGGGTGAAATTTTGGCTGTAAGTCGGACGCGTGCACTTATTTGTCGTATTAAATTTTCGAGGGGGTGGGTTCAGCGGTGTGCACGTGGTGGGGCCGCGACCGGCGCCGAGCAGAAGGCACGTGCTTTAGGTTCAGTTGTTCGCTTAAAAAACTGAGTGGAAAGCAACAGAGCCGGCAGGTCATTGACCTTTGACAACGAAGGCCGACACAAGGCACCGCTCGCCAAGAGGATTCGCCAGTAAATACAATTAATTTGTTTTTGCAATATCTCAGCCGTTTCTCGGCCGATTTAACTGAAACTTGGACTGTCGGTGGTAGTGTAGGGTAGTGTAGTGTAGGGTAGGGTAGGGTAGGGTAGGGTAGTGTTGGGTAGGGTAGGGTAGGACAGGGTAGGGTAGGGTTAGGGTAGGGTAGGGTAGGGTAGGGTAGGGTAGGGTAGTATAGGGTTAGGGGTATGGTGGGGTAGGGTAGGGTAGTGTAAGGGTAGGGTAGGGTAGGGTAGAGTAGGGTAGGGTAGTGTAGGGTTAGGGGTAGGGTAGGGTAGGGTAAGGTAGGGTAGGGTAGTGTAAGGGTAGGGTGGGGTAGGGTAGTGTAGGGTAGGGTAGGGTAGGGTAGGGTAGGGTAGTGTAAGGGTAAGGTAGGGTAGGGCAGGGCAGGGTAGGGCAGGGCAGGGTAGGGGTAGGGTAGGGTAGGGGTAGGGTAGTGTAGGAGTAGGGGTAGGGTAGGGTAGTGAAGGAGTAGGGGTAGGGTAGGGTAGGGCAGGGTAGGGGTAGGGTAGGGTAGGGTAGGGTAGGGTAGTGTAGGGTAGGGTAGGGGTAGGGTAGGATAGTGTAGGGGTAGGGTAGGGTAGAGTAGGGTAGGGGTAGGGTAGGGTAGGGTAGGGTAGGGTATAGGTAGGGCAGGGTAGGGTAGGGTAGTGTAGGGTAGGGGTAGGGTAGGGTAGGGTAGTGTAGTGTAGGGGTAGGGTAGTGTAGGGTGGGGTAGGGTAGGGGTAGAGTAGGGTAGGGTAGGGTAGGGTAGGGTAGGGTAGGGGTAGAGTAGGGTAGGGTAGGGTAGGGTAGGGTAGGGTAGGGTTGAATTGAGTAACATCCTAACTTATACAAAGGGCTCGAACAACTCGCATGCATCACCATCATACTTTACAGTTCAATTAAAAGCAGTTACCCAGTTCTACAGAAGTAATACCAATAAAATGCAAGTTTCTACACCCAAACTAATGCATCCGTTAATCATACGTATCAAAACATCAGTTATCGCGTAAACCTGTACCTCTAGTATGTAATAAAAGAAGGGATGTTACACGGCCGGTTGTAGACAACTATGAAAGCGTTATTTGAGTCTGAGAAAACTCCTCTTACAACACATACGGACATATAATAGTTAGTAGGAAGTGGTGTCACCATAAATTCGCATACTCGTATAATCCCACAAACTGTTTACTGTGCCAGGAACAGGCGAGGAGCGGGGGTATTGGGGATGGGGTTGTAGGGACGGGATGCAGGAGCTGATTGTTAGGGTGGGGTGCACGGGTGAAGGTAAATAACAGTGTTGTGTGCCGCAGACAACCGTACCGATCCGCCACACCTGTAAATGACACCACCGCAGCCACACACAGGCACAAACAG